TAATTTTTTAAAAATTTTAACTTTCTTTTAACTATAAAATCGGAGAGTTTTTACCATCTCTCATTAACTATATAGTAGGACATCCAAAAGCCATTCATTATAAAAAATCCTACAAATATTTCAGATACAACTCGGCCATATAGAAGTCGCCATGTAGCGTGAAATATGGTATGTAGTGTAAATACGGAATATCTTCAAGTACTAATTATACCGTCCACTACTAGAGGAGTTCAAGTGGCCTTACAAAACAAGACACAAACAACTTGCTAGGCTAAATATAAGTTTAATCAAATCGTGAATTACATAAAGGGCAATATGGTCCCAGTCATCCTAAAGGAGTCTGGCGCCAATACAGGCGACAACTTTTCCTCTTACGGTAAACAAGTTGCACAGGCTCGCTTATGGAATGAAAAAAAAAGGAAAAAAGTTCATCAAACTATCACACATACAAGTTTCCCTAACTATGTTTTATAAAATGTTATAGAAAAAACTAAGACTTACACTCTGCTGTTGCTAATGTTAAATAACCTTATAGACAGAGTGCTCTATAACTTTAGAATTATTTTAGAAACTAAGTAAGATCTTTAATCGAATTCAACAAGTACAAGTTTGACCAATCAATTATACTCTTCAAGTTCGAATTTTAATAACAAAACATATTTAAGTTAATCTTGCAGTGAAATCAGAGGCAATGTACCGGAAATCTAAGCTCTTACACATCTAAGTTAATACTGCGAATGATACGTCAACTTTTTTCATAGTTGAGTCAGTACGTGTACATATGCACCGGAACGAGCCGATACCTTGTACGGTGCACTATACTTATAGGTGTTTAGGCGACCACGACACCAGTAAATTGAGGATGTTGCTAAACGACTTAAGCGAATAACAATTTTATTTATACAGATCCAATGCGCGTGCAATAATAAACAATTTATTAAAAAAAAACTATTATACCATTGTAAAACAGTTAGTCTATCGAAACGCATAAATGATTCCGTATCGCGTGTAACGATACATTTTCAGTGAAACCGAGTAGCGTTCATCTGCAATATGGACGTAGAAATTGGGTCGCAGTCCGTTGTGTAATGTCCCGTGGGCAATGACAACACAGCTATTGTTTGCATTTTAATAAAAAAAACATATTGATTGTATCGTTGATGTTTGTTTAAAAATAATCAAACATTGAATAGAACTATAAAATACTCGGGTAAATAAGAATTTACGCGTGAAAGTCTCCGTAATCCCTACCATTGACATAGTTTGTTTAATGTTCTTTGTAGTCTTCATTACCTGTTTTCAAAAGCCCTAACCGATACGTCGACTTGCTGCCTTCACACCACTCTACCCACAGCTTGTTTCAGGGCATGAGGGATGTTGAGACCATTAATTGTCTTAATTAGGTCAGACCAACGGGTAGCAGATCGACCCCGACATCTTCCGCTTTACTCCTACCATTACCAGTTTGTCGAAACTAATCGGTTCTCTCCTGGAAATATGGCCAAAGTAGCTAAGCGTATGTAAATGATAGTTGATAGTCTTGTGGTGATATTTAGTTGGTTTAGAATGGACTTATTGGTTCTTTTTGCTGTTCATGGTATTCGCAACCGCAACAAATTCGTTTGTTTCATAATGTCTTATATAATAATTGGATACAATATTTGGAGCCCTACCTGTCAAACGTAAAAGCGTTTCAAACCTGAATATATTTTTCTAATGACTAAAGATTTTCTTGTCAAGTTGTTGTTGTTTACGCTTTCAATATTTGTAAATATGTGAGAAACACGTATACTAACAATACAATAATTGACCAATCCGCTGCTTTGCTTAATTTGTATGTAATACTTTGTGCCTATTTTAGGATACTAGTTTTATTCTAGGAGTACATTGTCTTCACATATAATTATATGTAAACAAAATATTGTAAAACCTATTTGAACAGAGTAAGTGTGAAGTTTCTCGCCCATTATTCTCCACACGAAACTACCTTTTGGAAGGGTCAACTAGAATCATCTTTATATTTTATTTAACGTTCAAAAGTACCATTTTAGGTGGTCTAATTGGAATAAATGATTTGATTATTGACTATTGACATGTAAGTAGAAATTGCCACTACTTATATTGTTTTTCGAAGTAATCTCCGTTCGCAATGTTTTTAACTGCCCAGTTCTGTTGGCATTATTAGACATTATTAAATTAAATTATATGTGTATGTCATAACATTTTCCAATATCAACCGAACTTAAGACTCATATTCTCAGTATAAATTATTAGTGAAATCTCATACGCTTACGTTTTTTCTCTGAGCTATTAATCCATCATTTTTAGCGATTTTTCCTGAAATATCGTTTGTATTTTATTTTATAAGTATTTCGAAGAATTAATATTTTACTATGTCAACATTAGGGTAAAACTATAATTCCTCATGTTGAGTGCAGCATCGTTGGCTGTATGGCTGATATATTACACCAAATTTATACTGATTACAGAACCGGTTTTCTCTAAAGGAAATAGTAGGAAATACAGCGAATACATTTCCGCAAAAATTGCATATATTTTTGGATAAAAGTATTATAAGTTGCCGACCTATTTTTAAGTGAATTAACAATATTATTAGCTTTATATCACACACCCATTATATAGTCTAATTAGTTTTATACATCAATTCGTTCAATGGCTAGGGCGTGACATTTATAAACACCAAACCTAAATGTCACCGCTTGCAGGATACAAATTAAGTCTTTAAATAATATATCAATAAAGTAATAAAAAAAATATTATGCCTATAAAATAAAAATAAACCATCGACGTTTATCCTTGATACTACTATGAGATTACCTGGGTGATAAGAAAATTTAAAGAGTTTTAATTTAAAAAAGTAAACTTCAAGTCCAAGTGCGAGTTATCCGGGAAACAAGCCAACAAAGTTAGAACCTTTATAATTGGAATCGGTTAAAAATAGAATTTAATTACATTTTCCAATTTGATTTGCCTATGGTAACAACGGATCTCTCTAATCCTCTTAACTCCGATAATTGGCGTTTCACTCAAATCCTCTTTCATTTAGGGAGTTATTACGCTGGCATAAATCGTAATTGAGTATCGATTTTGAAACGGTCATATACAAATGAGATAAGCTGTTATGGATATAAACCTAGTGATACGATGTTATGGATACATTATTTATCTTAGGTATAGATAAATAATGTATATGTATGATATTTATGTCACGTTTATTTGTGGAAAAGATATTAACAATTTAATACGTATTTAAGGAGTCTATGACTAAAGGTCTTTCAGTAAACTGGAGCAAAAACTTTGATGAAACGGCAAGAAACAAAAATTTTAAGAATTTTTATAACTAATAGTAAATTTTCTCTCGCGAAACCGACAACTCGCTGGTGTGCGAAGTAATAACCTAAATTAAAGTTAACCCAATAATCAATAACCAGCACTATCTTTAGCATTGCATTTCATAGCCTTCACTTAGCATTAAGTTATCGCGGTAATCAATAGTAAAAAATATATTAGACATTATTTAAACAAATACACCTGACCCAGCAACGGTATCGTACCAACCGGAAGATATTATTAAACTCGTAAAATTGTTAAAATTATTATGCATGCATCAAAATTATTAAACAAGCTTATAAATAAACATTGAACGAGGTGAAATATTAATTTTAACCGAAAATGGATTTTGAATTATTTTTGATGATGCATTCAAAGGCAGGTCAAGAGCCTTAACCGGCGAGCTTGCATGAAGAATTTAATGCGAGTATATGAAGCAAAAGCGTGTCAGAACCACGTGGAAAACGGTTGCCTAGCGGTGCAAATATAAATTTTCACTTTAATACACTTTAAAATTATTTAAAGTTACATATTATACATTATATTATCAGGTGAGCCTCCTGCCCGTTTGCCCCCCGTTCTATAAAAAAAAAAAAAAAATTAAAGAAAGCGTTAGAGGAGGCCTTCGCCAAGAGGCACACCGAACTCCGTGATATACTGGAGTGAGATCATATTAGTTCGTAATATATAAAATCACAGGGTTTCGGAATTTAAAGGCTATATTATAATACATTTAAGAGGTTTTTAATGGCTGTTTTCAATAGTAGAAACATTTTTAGCGAAGGTTAAGTTATGTTTAGGAAAACTATCGAGAGAAACAACCCAAACAGGCGTATCAGGCACAGAACTGTTATCACCTATTAGAAAACACAAATGATCACAAAACAAACAAACAAACTAAACAGATACAGAAATCTGTGGCCCAGATCTAGAAAGTTGGAGTGAAAAAAAAAATCGCAGATTTTCGGCAGTATGGCGGCCATTTGGAACCGTCCGAAAAGTATGGCATTTTCGTAAATAGCTGCACGTCGATGATAATCTGTGCAAAAATTGTACCAATTAAAGCCTGGTACAAATGGTTGAATTTTTTTTTACATTAACGAATACGCGTCGGTATGGCTGGCTGTAAGTCACACCGGAGAAGTATGGCATGACACTGCCGCCTCTTATTTTTTTTATGGACTATCGGGAAATACTAGAATTTTTGTGGATCTAATCGTTTGACTTTCGTAATTAATCCGAAGACTTCGACTAACGCCCACGCGATTGGGCCGCCGGTATCAGCGCTCTGACCATATTTTTTTCTTTTTTTCATTGTGTAATAAGACCCCTAAAGAACCGTCATACTGGTACAAATGACCCACTATTTTGTGTCACTATCTCCCGGCCTATTAGTACGTAGAGTCTTGATGCACAAAATGTTTTTAAATAAATGTGTTGTATACTATTTTTATCACATTTTAGTAACTAAATATATATATTTAGTTATCGGTCGACTAATTATATAGTAGTTTTGATTTATACTTCTATGTTATTTAAAAACTTGTTAGTTTACATAGTAAGTTTCGCACTTACTTCATTTCCTCTTATTTTGTCATGGAAAAGTCCGATTAACGTTATATGCATTATTTATAAGTTATATACAGTGTCTAGTAAAGTTCTAACCTCAAATCCTGCAGCAAGGCTTCGCCCTGCGCTATAGTAGCTGCGCAGGCGTCGAGACTTGCTCCGCGATGTTGAGCGCATTGCTCTAAAGCGCGTCGTGCTGCTTCGGGACTATCATCTGCGGGGCATACACCACCACCGCTACGTAGGGTTTCCAACCATTGTAATAGCTGCAAATAAAATAATCTTTAATATAATCTGGACATCCATATAATTTTTATTATTCTTCACACTCTTCCTCATGTTACAGGCACATTGACATCTTAAATGTACGATTCCACCAGTGTGCTGACCTGTGCGGCACAGTGTTGCTCAGCGTACGGCACAAATGTTTGTTTTGGTTGACTCACTCTAGCAAACAATAACAAATTGTGCGAGAATATTTTAGCACACGCCTACAAGAAGTGGACTTGTGTCAACGCGCACACGCTCCTTGTCCGCGAACTCAGTATTGCTTCCGCTACCAAAGCGAACAGATTTAATTGTGCGTGCACTATGCCAAGTAATCTTTTTGAATGATCAAAGCACAACGTTTTCCTGTCCGTCCCTATTAGCAACTGTTGACAGAAAATGTATGTACACAAATGTGCCGCACGCTATCTTTGGGGAATCGTCCTTTAGGATAACAATTACGGTCTATAATATCCTACATCTTATAATAATATAAATTACTAGTGGACCCCACAGACGTTGTCCTGCATGATATTTAAAGCGATTAGGATATTAAGCAAAGTATGAAAGTACCGACTGCAGTGCCATCTGCCGGGCTGATTTGTGAATCTAAACCATTCCCAGATCCCCTTGAACACACACAAAAAATTTCATCAAAATCGGTCCAGTCGTTTGAGAGAAGTTCAGTGACATACACACTCACAGAAGAATTATATATATATATAAAGATTATATCCTATTTAATACTAATAAAATAGGATAATTATTATAGGCCGAATGGAATGGAAAATTTAAAGATATTACACGGTCCAAACAAGTCAAAAACAATATTATGAACATCTCTACATAAGCATAAAACATTAAAAATTGTATATTTAATGCCTATTTTTTACTGACCCATCAGTTTTAAGCCAGGCTTTCATCCTATTTAACAATTGTCCATTCCCAAAATTTGTAAATTGATGCGAAAAATATATAATAAACACAAGATAATTACCTCCTTCTCATGCGTATAGAGCAAGACAGCAAGATCTAGCCGTCTTCGTCTTCGATCGACTCTAGCCGCGAACGCAGCAACGTGAGCTTCCAACTCACGCGCAACGCCAAGAACCTCTTCGGGATCGCATTCCCCAGAACGCGCTAATTCTTCAGCTGCTGATAGAAGTTTCTCCGCATTCGTGTACGTGTTCTATGGGTAAAAAGCGTATAAAAAAGACTGAGAAGATCAAGGGCAAGGAACAAACATACTTTTGTATGTTTTTTTCTTTTATTAAGTAAATGAATCTATGGCTGATTGAATGGCTTTAACGCAGCAATTTAAAGAAACTAGCTTTCATCGACCGCCCTGAATATAATATTATTACTCATGTAAAACCGTATAATGAAGATATTATACGGTTTTATAACATACATATTTCACTCATAATTTATTATACTTCCGATAATTCCAATTTCTGGCTAAACGCCAAAATACTATTCCTTTTTACTCAGTTTCGTATTTATTTTATCAGTTTGATATTTAAAAGTTATAAATGAAAATAAAGTATCACACAAAATTTAATTCAATATTGCAAGTATAATGAATAACGTAAAGAAATTGTAAGAAAATAAGCTGTTTCCTGTAGAACTTTAACATTACTTACTTGAGCAACATTTTCAAAGTGTTCGTGTGACTTCTGATACACTCTGGCCTTATGGAGATTTCGTCCTATTCCAGTATTCTTCTGCAGAAATACTTCGCCATGATTCGTCAACCAGTCGAGTACCTTAAAATAACAATCATTTTAAAAACAAGGAAATAATGTTTAAAATAATAATCACTTGGTTAAAATCTTGAAATAAAATAATGCTATCATAAAAATTATGAAAATGATTACGAAGGTAAACTCAACGGTTTCTGCTGATTGGGAGACAATAACCAGTCCAAAAAATAGTTAGGAATTATCCAGTATATTAATTAAGCTATATATAGTGACATAGTAGTGATATTCATGAAATGTTTTTGTTTTATTTTACACACACAGGTGTATGTAAAATAAAACAAATGTGACACAAGTCTATAAATATATGGACGCTGTACTAGTGGCGCTACAACCTTTAATATCTGGGCCTCAGATTTCTGTATCAGTTACGTGACCATTTGTTTTTTTAATAGGCAAATAGGTTCTGTGCCTGACATAGCCGTCGACCAGTCGTCTTTAGTGTTAAAGCCGGTTTCATCAAGATGTTCTCTTCACCGTGCGAACGAGTGTTAATCTCGCTCATAGAACATCCACAGTGCGCATGAGATCGAACCTACGACCTCAGCGATTAGAGTAACACGCTAAGCCTCTAGGACAACTCTGCTCTACAATGCATATTATACTACATATGCATTTAATATGATGTACAGACATTATATTAAAATAAATTTAGTTTAGTCAAAATGGATTGGTTGGAATCTCCCATCACGAGCAAATTTTGCTTAAAGGTCTTCAAAATTATTTGTTATATATTGAGTGAAACCACATAGCGTAGAAATAAAAACTTACCTGTCTGCAATCCTCCTTATAGAGCAATAAAGCGAGTCGTTGATGTAATTTAAGCCTTGCTTGATGATATCTCGCCTCTAAAGCTCGATGGTGTCCAAGTATTTGATGTATCACAGCTAGTACGTGATTGGCACCCGAACTATAATCTGCGGCTGGATCACCACCACTACTACCGGCCGAACTAACTGTGCCGTCTTTTTGCTGTTAAAATAATACACTTGTTCAGTAATGCGCCCGTAGCTGTCCTAATTATTTAAGTATTCGTTGTTCAGGCTTTGTAATGCAAATTGAAATACATAGATAAGAACCACGTTGAGTACGGAACAGAATGTAAATGTAAGCCACACTTACATTGCCATGAAACAACCATACTTCAAGTATCACGGGGCATGGGAAACTTTTCTGTGCTACGTAATTATTAGGGCAAAGGACAAACTGATTTTGGGGATCTAGGGGATCAGTTTGTCTAATAAATCGAAACAATCATTGCAGTGGATATCAATTCTAAAACAGCCTATAGAAGAGAAGTACATATTTTTTTTTTAAATGTAATTCAATAGAAATTCGACCAAAGGCTATATACTATATATTATAATCCATAATCTAGTATTTTAAACGCTTACGAAACTGCTAAAAAGATTAAGATGAGTTAAGGTATCGAAGTTTAAACTAAAGAGACCATTAGACTACCTCCCTTATTCATAAAACATATTTAGACACACATACTTCGATATAAGTACACTTTAGTTTATATCAAATTGCGTTTACGTTGTAATAAAAACAGAGACACAATTACTTCAGTTAAAATGATGCAATTAGTCTGCTTTTTTATGATAATACGATATATGTTGTATAACATACACCACACACTTTCTGAGCAGTTTTTGCCGCGCACCACTAGGTAGAACCAGCTACCAATTGAAGTGTGAGCATAAGTACGTTTGATAAAAGCGTCATTTTTTTAATTTCCCGGGCAGCAACTTGCAATGCGTAACTGTTCCCGTCTACTTTTATCTATAAATTAAATACCATCAATTTTTTGACAAACTGCTTTATTTAGTAACTGTTTTGCCATTGGAAATAGACAACATCGTACATTTTAACAACAATGACAAAAATAGAATTCCGACTTCAGTATAAGAATTCTGCGTAAAAAACCCATCCAGCGAAACCAAGGAAAATATTTATAAATAATATGGGGACTCTACAACATCAATTTCCCCTACTTTCAGGGAAATCCTATTATATGTAAGGAATAAAAACATAAGAAGAATGGAGGGTTAAATTTATCGAGATAAAACGAGTGTTGAAAAATAAAATCAACATTTTCCGAAATATTTATTCTTTATACAAACAGTCACTGACTTATCAAACCACTCTGGTATTTCTAAACCAATTCGAATCAGGGTTCTCCAACCCTAAGTTGATCGAATGGAGCTTAACGATTACTTAAAGGCCGGCTCACAAGTAGCCTTCTGGTAGTGAGAGTGCTCATGGGCGGCTGTATCACTAAACATCAGGTGAGCTTGCTGCCCATTTGTCCCCTCTTCATAAAAAAATATGTCACCCGAATAATACATACCAAATCGGCTGGGTCTGTCTGATGACAAACTTGAACTAAATGGTCAAGTTGGTACAGCAGCTTCTTACTCGTTGAGTGAACCTGCAATTAAACACATTCATCAAACTTAATCCGATAACACTGACAAACTTTGAAAACAACAGCTTGTAGTCATGAATACTATATTTCACACACAGCCGGCATACGAGCACATGATCAAGGTTGAGGATCGCATGCTTGGGCCAGCTTGCTTGTGAATAACCCGTGCTTTAGACATAAATCACATATGCAAAAGATTTTTGTTTTGATTATTTATCTATTGTTGTGTTATGTCTAAAAAAATATGTTTTTTATAATTTACCTCGGTATACGCCTGACACATATGTTCATACAATTGTCTGTGCCTCTGTGCATGTTGTTCCAACGCTCTTGGATCGTTACAAGGAGCCGAGCCCTGTCCAGTAGCCAATTGTAAGGCCACTGCACACTGGGCGCCCCAGCCACCAACAGCGGAGGCATAGGCCTCAGCCTTATGGTGGAATACCACGGATAAGGATAGTACTGCCGAACGCTCTTCAAGACCTATTCAAAACCACATAAGCAATTTATTTTCATAATTCTTTGTGGAAAATCATGTATATATATATCATATACAAGGGAGCGTTCAAGTATTACGTCACGCAATTTTTGGAGATTATTGACCCCCCTCCCCCATGTAACGCGCCGTAACGTTTTCTGAACCCAATAGTAAAACGTTTCGTGACCACCCAGTGACTCTTTATACCTAAAAGCTACCATTATGTTTTGTAAAGTACTGGAAAGTCGAAAATAATATTAATAATAACGCGTAATTCAATCCCCGCCCCGCATCGTAAAGTTTTACAAAAGAATTCGTAACGTAATACTTGAACGCTCCACAATCATAAGTTAATTCTTTTTATAATAAAACATTTAAGATGAAAACGTCTAAAATAGGAACAATAAAATAAATAACATACCGGCTGACAGTTGTTTATATGCTCGCTCCAGACGATGCGCAAGAGATGTTATCTGTGCTTCGGCATAGTGTCGCTTATCAGCTAGTCTTCGAGCTGCGGCCGTTACTCTGGCAACACTAGGCCTGCCGCCCCCAGTACATGCTGCAGCAAACCTGTTACAAGAAAATATATTACACTTATATTTGAACATTATTAATCGCAGCCCTTATTAATAAAAATTCAATCAGAATGCATTTTTTAAATTCGCGTAGCTCGATTGCGACACAAAATATTTGCTAGACTAATACGTGTTGATCGGTAGTTCAAATAATTAAAAAAATCGTCCAGAAGAAAAATGAATTCAATTGTACTTGAAACCTCATACCGTGAGTATGTCGTTCCGAGTTCTGAACGTTCAACTAATTATTCACTCGTAAATTGTCACCGTGACCAATTTTGTGACCTTGGAAAAAGTTCAATTACTCAGAATACTGAAAGCAAAAAGACAACTGTCTTTTCTATAGTTATTACCAAATAAATTCGAAAATCTACCTGCACTAAAATGATAAGAATAAATTAACCGTGGTATTAAAAAATATGAAGTATTTACATGTTCCTATCTGGGTAGGAACTTGTAGTTTTCATTTATAAATAATTACAGGAAATATAGAATGAACATGTTGGCTGTTAATTGCAGACAAGTTAATGATTTCACAACAAACCATCCACTTCCAAGATGTGTTTTATTAAAACTTGCATTTGCTGCGAGAGAAAATTTAAAATTTTTCTATGTGCTAAGGGACCTGTGTCGATCTTTTTAGTTATTGTACCACGATCCCAAGTTTACCACCACAGCGCTACCTACGGTTTTAAAAATATTGTATCGAAATTGAGTGTATTAAAGTGGAATCTATAACTGCTTAAATAGACACATACAGTGTAACGATGGAGGTGCTGTTTCATTTAACATAATCTGGTATAATTGTACACATAAATTTTGTTGTATTTTTCAATAGACAACACACATACTAATATAGATGCTTTTCAATTATCCAATCTTCTGTTTAAAGCAAGAACGATTTCGCTCCTTACTTAGATTGGCTTTAACATAAACATCCTTGACGTATACGTACATCTGTACATAGTGATGACAGTTTAATCAATCATTCAATCAAGAAATCTACTCGTTCGTTATAAGTACTCCACGGGTTATGATTCGTTGGTATTGCGATGTTATGTCTTAGAACCTTATTCAACCAAACAAATGAACTTATAAAAAAAATTACCAGATAAATAATATTTACCTGGCATGCTCTTCTTGTAATCGTTTAGCTGCAGTACAAGAGCGTCCAATTTCGACGTATGTAGAGAGAAAGGCCGTGCGGTGGTTAACAATCCATTCCAGCATCTAAATATAATATTACTATATTTGTAGAATCACATACGTGTTCGCGATTGGTTGAAGATTACTTTCCCTTAAGCGAAACAAGGCCGAGATATAAATATATTATTATAAGGTCTTCTTTGTTTACGATTATACTAATTATATACGAATTTATCTTCAAGTTCATCAGTAAAATCAACTTTAATCTTTAAAATAATGTTATACTGTCTTTTGTTAGGGCTAAGATTAAAAGAAATTAAAAAGTGAATTTTACGTGGATTTATACAGTAGGTACCAGACCCACTATATAACTTTTTACCACGATAGCAAGAGAAACATAACAATACCTTTTCACAGTCTTGTTCAAACAGTCTCAATTGAAAGCATTGGTCTAGTTGCATCTTCTTGTGTTGCCAGAGTTTATGCGCGTGCGCGTGAGCGGAGCGTACAGCGGATAGCTGGGATCGTACTGCGCTCGGTGAACCACAGTGAAACGCTGATTCACCTCCACTGCCGCTGGCTTCTGAGCATACTGCTTCAGCCGCCTCCAGGCGTTGAAGGACACGCTCACCTAAATCGTAATTTAATTTTTTTATGGCTTGATCGAATAATTAGGAATCTTGTATATATACATCATATTAATAGCTTTGATCAATTTCATGAATTGAACCCATCCCAACGGTAAATCGTGCGCCTAATTGAAAATACGACATAGTCCGAATCATTCCAGACTTTTATCATGAGCTGCAATAAGGATAGTGAGTCATCTTCCTGCCAAATTACAAATACTATTGCGCGCTGATACAACAATATTTTATCGTACCTTAAGTCAAGTTACATGTTCATAAAAAAAATCACCTTGATATTCTATTTATTGCGAATACAAAACACATAGCAAAAAAACAATAAAGAGGCAGATAACGTCCAGTTACTTGATTTTTCTGAATACGACGATTTTTCTATCAAAATGCAATGAGCGTTTTTAAAGCAACTACGTTAAATTTAAAACAGTCGGAGATTCGTTATCAGTGCGATATCCTTGCCATCACTTAAAATATGAGCCTTATAACACTATTAACAGAAGCATGCCACTCTGCAGCAAATCCAGGTTCTTTGGAAGCGGTACATCAGTTTCAAAAAATGCAAGTTATTTGTCCTGAACGTTGAAGCTACGCAAGTTACTTCAAAAGCCAGAATAAACCGTCTTCATCACGCCTCTAATAACTCTTGCTTACCAAAAAAAAACAATGGCACACATTTATTTTAGTTTAAAGTTGAATACAAATCGTAATGATCATTTCTGCTTTCATCAAATTGGGCCAACATTTGGGAATGACTTGGATGCGAAATTTAATTTCGTATCAATAATAGTATCGGAGAATGTTTAATATTAAACCATTCCGCGGCATCTAAAATGCAGCCAAGCTAAAAATATATGATAAATATCGAGAACTATATATAAGTAGAAATCAATATATCGTGCATCCCGGTGAAACGATACGAGAAGCTAAAATAACTATAAATTTATTTTATCGACTTATAACATATACGCGATTTAAAATGATTTAGTTTCACTTCAATAAACTCATAAAAAACGTATTAAATGCGACAGATTATAAAAACAAATTAATTAATCGTACCATGGTCAACGTTGGATCGTAGGCAATCAAAGCACATGTTACACCGACATTGTTTAGCGTGTTATGAAACAATTGTGTGCAATAATCCACTGAAACTTGATAGGCAACAACTAGTGTGGCCACGCGGAAAAAATGTCTATGCTGCATACTTAAACTACTTTGAATACGAAATAATGGTAATTCATGATTTACTATTTAAAATTACGCTACGCTACTAATTAACTATGGGTTCCACATTCAATGCACCAGTCGTAATAAATACATGTCGTAGATTTTTCAAAGGAAAATAAAGTTAATAGCGCTTTTGTACAAGCTTATTCAACTCGTAGCTTATACGACCAGTATTAGCAATATAATATTAAAAATTCTACTCCTACTTTCAAAATCTCTATTACTTTATATAATAAACTAAATATTGGTTATTAAATGTGTTGTCTGTTTGACAAGATTTTAGAAAGCATAAACAGACTTCACTGTTTTAAAAACATTCATATCTTATTTACTTTAATTAATTTGTTTCATTTAAATTTATTTATGATTGCAGTAGTCTTTGTTTACGGAATGTTTAACGTATAAAGGTCAACGTTAAGAGATTATATATTAAGAACACTGTTTAATAGTGTCTTAATAAATGCTATTTATTCTTATTAATAGTCTGTTGTATGTTCAACTACTTTGAGGAGCATATTAAATCCTCGGAAAAGATTTATATATATTTATATATATATATATATAAATTCCGCCTCCGTGTTTGTACTTAACGTATACAAAAATCGGACATCTGGGGAATTGATAATGAAATTTGTACCACTGTATGAATTCGGATTTAATTTTTTTTGCGTATAAAAGCAATGTTTATTTATGTACCTTGAGCCTCAAGTTCATCAACGGGTACTTTGGCGAGACGTTTACTAATATCAGCATGAGCGTCGATAGCGCGCCTCGCACCAGTAACATCATCTGCAAAGTCAGCACGTGCCACATCCTCTTGTAAATCATCTAACCGATCAAGTAATTCACCAGCTTGCCACATTAGATCTTCCAATGCCTGTATTTATAAAAAAAAATGATTCAAACAATATAAGTTTGCAACATGCAATGAACGAAACCTAACATTTCCCTTCATTCTCCAAACCTTTCAAAACTTTGCTCTTTTTATATAGGTTACACTTTAAGAGTTTTATGTTACTAACTTTACATAACATAAGCTCTGTCAACTGGAACTTACTATCTAATAAGGCCTAAAATAATTTTATAACACATCCATAAACGTAAATTGTTAGCCAATACATAAATTAGAAACTACTTACCAATCTAAGATCTATCCATTGTGCATGGTCATATTGTAGTGTACCATCTAAATCTGGTGTTAATTGAGAACTATCTATCACTTTAGGCAGTGCTTCTAAACTAATCATTGTTGTCTGGAAATAAGTTATAGGATATAATACACATATCTTTATATATATAATTCTTCTGTGAGTGTGTATGTCTCTGAACTTCTCTCAAACGACTGGACCGATTTTGATGAAATTTTTTGTGTGTTCATGGGGATCTGGGAATGGTTTAGATTCACAAATCAGCCCGGCAGATGGCACTGCAGTCGGTACTTTCATACTTTGCTTAATATCCTAATCGCTTTAAATATCATGCAGGACAACGTCTGTGGGGTCCACTAGTACATAATATAAAAGTATAATGATTGCTTTATTTTGAGCAACTAACAAAATAGTCCTATTTAACAATGTACCACTAATAGTATCTTTTTATTATTTCATGCAGAGCTGACCACACTAAAGAAATCACTTAATAACTTGAATTTTGAACTAACAAAGTACAGGAATTCAAGTCTGTGCTTAATAATTACCTCAAACTTGTACTTATGAGATCCTATTGTTGTGCGTTGTTTCTGCCAAAAATTGTCAGGTTTCACTACAAGTGCCTGATGGACGGATGAAGAAAAGTGTTCTTGTAAAATTTTTAATATTGGCTTTATTGCAGCCCATGCAGAACCTCTCATATCAATCAAAATAGTAAAGCCATGAGTTCTCACAGATCCACTGAAATCAAATATAGAGCAAACAGTGTAATTACATGAAAACACTATATATTGTACAATGTTCACATTAGCTAGTTAATATTACAATTTAAAAAAGCATATAAGTTTCCCTAAAGATCAATAAATTATCTTGCTTTAAAATTCATACTTTGGAATGCTGATTAAATAATGCATAAGGCGCCTATAATCATCTGGAGCAACACGATCTCTTCTTGAGTTTGCAGGGAACCAAACAATGGGACCTCCACGTCGATCTCTTCCTCCAGTTAGAGCTGCCACCCTCTCCTGTAGAAGGGGCAGCACATCCAAGGCACGTGCCCCAACCTCCATGGCTGGGTATATAGGCAACTAATGTAGAAGCCTGGTAAACAATATCTATATTATACTTTAAAATATAAGATAAATCTGTTAAGATGTATTTATTACAGTTACATAATTTGTTAACTCAATAACAGTATGAGGCTTCATGGTAAGTTAATCACATTAAGTGTTCTTATATCTACTTTATTTTTAACTAGTATTTAAATTTCATTTTTTACATAACATTTCTTAATATAACTATATTTATATTCCAACAACTAGTGAATATACTGCTGCATACTACTATATCTTAAAATAGTAACTTAATAGTCATGTACTACAAATAAAATATGATCATTTTCATCATTCTGTTTATGTAAGAATTACAAAGGAATTTTTCGGGACTTTTATGTTCTCTGTCAGTGCATATTGTTTAATTAGATCATATTCATGGTAATAATTTAAATAAGTTATATTAAGATAAATTAATTTTATATTTTCAGTTTCAAACTAAGTGAATTGTAAAAAAATATATGTGGTATTTATTATAGCTATGTATTAAAATAATGTTTATTTATATACCTTTCACGCGCGTAAAAATAATTAAAACTTTGCGTTAATAATCTCGTGAGTTATTCTCACTTAAACGACAACAAATTGGAGTTACAAGAGTCGTAATATCAGTGATACTAACGTGTCTTTTAACAAAAATAATATTTACGTATGTAAAAAAGGCTTTTGCATAAAATTCGGAAGAAAAGCTATCCGCGAAATCAACAGTAATTATTATTACACTCCCTTACAAGCGTTAAGACCAACGCCAAGACCCTTGTTGGGGTGCCGCCAGTTAACGACCTTATTGTATTGAATGAAATATATCGCGAATAAGATGAATAATATGAATTTAGACCATCGGGCTTTGAATCATAAGCTCAAGTAACGGTTAAAATTACTTTTATTTATCGCTGATGACGAATAATTTCCTGAATATATAGCTAGTATGTCACAACAAATAACCTTTGGTGAAAATCAATTTGTACTAACCGTGATTCCAAGATGTTATGAAACTGGTATAAAAGGTTCGGCACACATTATTGTCACTGTTATTATTTTCACTAAAAAATTATATAAAATATATTCATTTGTGCCCTTTGAATCTCACTAAAAACACACAAGCCAAAGAGAATTTAATCACTGACACAAGCCTAGACATAATGACACACAGAGAATACTGTGTTGCCAATAAAGAAAACATAAATTCCTAAGAATTTTACAATATGTAATATTTCACTTTATACGCAAAATTAGTCAAGACATTTCCATTGCAATTAGAAATATAAAAAAAATTGTTCAAAAATCGCTTCATTGTGTAAAACTTACACTAATCATATAATCCAAAGAGCATTCATTTACAATTAAGATTAAAACAAAACTTTAAAAAAATCTTTTCTCAGATAAATAAAAATTAAACTAAAGTATACAACATGTTAATTTCACGAAAAAGTACGATGTTAAATATTATTATTAACTTTTATTATTTCACGTTTAATTATTTTATTATGTTCTGTGGATAGGGATACCATAAAATAAAATAATTAGTATTATTATAAAATAAAATTGCTAGTAATATTACAATAATCAATGTTTAGGTTAATGTAAAAGCTTAATGAATTAACTTTTTTTTCATATTAGTATGATAATGTGTAACGTAATAATTAACAACAACATAATTTCTAAACCACAATACGAATTTTAAAAAATTTACTGACATCAGGATCAGATAAAATTTAAAAATTATTAAACACAATATTTTAAAAATGTTTATTTTCAGCTACAAAATTGACTGGGGCACTTGTAACACTGTATTTAATTATTAATCCGTTGGCACTAGAAGTTTATATTTAATTTGCCTGACCATCCGTCAATACTTTGATCTGAGTAAATAATTTTTTTCCAATGAACCAATTATTGTTAATTACACACAGAAATTAAATGACGATTTGTATAGCTGGGGTTCGAATTAATGTTGAGAACCATTCACCATATTAGGGAACACCTAATGCAAAGTCTCGATACTTCCCATAGTGTCAGTAAAAGTCGTCTGATAAATGAGGAAATTTCGTTAGTAATTTATATACTTTAATAAATGTATAGAAAGGTATAGAAATCTTAGGATATTTTGTAATCTATATTATAATATGTAGTAGCATTATATTGACATCTTATATGTTAGTACGTAAATTTCAATATAATGCTACAACAATATACTAACATTTGTGCCGTGTTTACTATCTAGTGTACTTAAGTTTTAATATTATTTATAAAATTGAGACATGTTTGTTCAGTGAAGATCTTTGAGGTACGTGTCGTAAGAGGTTTGGTCCATTAACTGTTCCACTTCTTCGGGTTTGCTTAGCTTCAGTCTGAACAGCCAACCGTCTTCATAGCAAGATTTGTTGATTAGAGCTGGACTTGATTCAACAGCGCTATTCTTTTCAGTTACCTGTTAAAACATTTCCTTAGTTTTAAAAAGATAAAGGCGGTAAAAATACATTTGAAATTATTTTTTCCATTTATTACAAACTGGACAATTTATTTAAATATATTTAACTTTGCGAACTTGCCACGCAGTTTTTAAAAGGCGTTGTTTTATTGATGTGGTAAATATTGTGGACGTAGAAAGGTGTACTGTTCCTCTAACATAGAGGGAGGATCCTCGACCAGTCTGTCCTGACTGGCCAACCCAATACCCCAGTGGTTAAGATCAATTAGTTGTTTATATTCTTAGCGTTCGGAATTTCTTTGTTATCGCTTTTCATGGTATGATGTCATCGGAATAATTGATAGTCGAAGATTGAAGATAATTCACTATGAGAAGTACTTACGATACCAGAAACAGGAGAATACACCTCCCCAGCTGCTTTAACACTCTCTAAGGCACCACACTCATCTCCACTACTTATGTTTTTTCCTACATCTGGAAGTTGCGCGAATACTACCTCGCCAAGTGATTCCTGTAAGGTATTTCTGTATGTAAGCGCCATCTATGTAATATTTCACAAAGCTTGTATCTGTGTAATATTATTATACATACAAATGGTTCTAAATTTTACTGAGCAGAGTTAACACTGATATTCAGATGGGATGAAAGCAAAAATATAATTATTTTTCTCTCAAATAATTACATGTGTATGTTCTTGAGGCTTGTTACAATTTTGTATTCGTGATATCAAACCTCAGAGACGTTGTTTAGTTTGGGTTTTTTGGTTAAGGTGTCTCTAACATTTCTATCACAATAATTAATATTGTTAAAATATTTTGTAAGGCTATTCTGGTCGTGCAATTGTAAGAGTAGGTAAATTAATTTGATTTAAAACAATAGCCTGCAATAGACTTGCCTGCGCAAATTTTGAGATTCCAATAGTACCGATACCGGCATCGATCTTCACCCACTCGTGCTTTTTAGTGTAAAACGACCTAAAATGTAAAAAAAATAAAGTACAGAAAAAACAAACGAAACGCAATGAAACCTTCGCCATTTTCGCTAATCGAATTCGATCGATTAATATTTCATATTATTACATTCGCAAATCGCAGCAATAATATTATAATAAATTATCAGCATTATATTTTTCACGTGTTCGAGAGTCTAAATGATATAGAAACTGTATTTTCTCACACTTTGTAATTAGCGTGATGTTTTCATGAACTTCAGGATAAACTATTTTATCTGTCGCGGGGGGCATAAATAATAAATAGTTTAATGTAACACAATTATTGATGTGATCATTATAATGGAATAATATATATATAGTTATTACCATTTTGTACCTTCCAAGCCAAAATACATTTATAACGTGAAGAATCCATACATTTTGTGCTTAATGTTCGTTGCGTTAAGCCCAAGCAGTGAGAGTAGACAATACTTAGGTAAGGAGTGTTTTATTAACAACAGTATGCTTATTATGACGCCGAGTTAATAATACACCAATATTATTGAATATCACCTTTCATTGATAGAGTTAATTCAGTATTGCTGAAGAATAAAATCCTAAACAAAAGCTTAGCTTACCGTTTCCATTGTGTACACGTCTGCAAGTCGATACTATGCCTTGTTGTGAAACGCGACACAGCCCTTTAACAACATTGCTTATTACCATCTTTCGGATCCTAAACAACAATAAAACATAATTAGAGTTGATTTATTAATCAATAAGTACAACTTTAACTAGCCATAGTCTGACCAAATTCGAATTGTATAACCTTGAGCCCTTTTGTTTTATCGCAAACATATCGTTAAGAAACAATATTATAACACAAATAAAGATAGGAATGAAGGCTAGGACAATTGCGTCAAATATAATGATGTAATTAGCATATAATAACTGTTATTTTAGTTCATATTACTATTAATATTCATGACTTTTATAATATTTTCGTACATTTGAAAACCAATGGATTTTTCTATCTATTTGCACAGTAGTACCTATTTGCTCGTACGCTGCATAGTCTAAGCCTCTATGGTAACATTCAGTCAAGACTTAACGCAAAACTAATACGGAAATTTGAGGCCAAGTTCCATAGAAGGTTTTTAGGATCAAATGACTATTATTATATCTACTTTTAATCTAAATAATCTAATCATAGTTAATTGAGAACCATCTATGATTTATTGATTTTTGTTTTCGTAAAACCAAAATATTTGGTTTTCGTAAATTTGACCATATATCAAAGTTACGAAGAATGCTCAACTGGCGGCGCAATATACAATTACAACTTCTCTATAATGTTCTCTTTGATCCTAAAAGTCCTTACTTTTTATGTTCCTTTCTAGCGTTGGTTTTGATTTGCGTTTCTCTGACAATCTAAAGCCTATATTTCACCGGGGCAACACTGTGCGGCATTGCGGCATGGCACACGGCCGCATGCTATAAACTTAAAAATGTCACACATTGTGGCAAGAACCGTGCGGCATGGCAACACCTAGCGTCGCAGCTTGTATCCGAGCACAACGGATTCTATGGGACATTTTCCGTGCGTCAAAACAGTTTGTAGGTTGTTTTTGTTTGTATTTGTTTTGGAAACTGAGAATAATCGGCCATGAAGTGGTCTAACGAAAAATATTTAGACTTAAAAAAATAAAAAAAGAATTTAAAAAAATAAAAAGTTCTCAAAGTCCTCAATTGACTTTCTGGTAAAGTTTTTAAATAAGGCACTATCGTCTGCCTTAATTTTTGTTAGTAAACTAGTCCGTGAGCCGTTCTGAAGTAATCTTCTTTTCCACCAACGTTTCTTCTTCCGTTGTTTAGCTGCATGGCTTAGAAGTACAAAATAAGCTGCTGCTAAAGTTACCTACTAGGTAGACCAGTAACACTCCATAAACAGCTCAATGCTTTGGAAGTTATCCAGGCACGATGTTGCTTAGGCGTAGAATAGGCTGCCGTATGCCACATATGCCGCAAATGCTTTCTATTTGTAGCATGCCACAAGTTTCCGCATGCCGCAATGTGTAGCATGCGGCACTGTCGCACGTTGTTGCCTGATTGTTTGTTGCCACATAAAACTGAATTTTATCACTCCTTCTTAACTGTGAAAAGTATCCTGCTTTGGAACTCTTTACCTTTTGATATCAGAGCAGAGTAGCAGAGTATTTTGAAATTTATTTAGGAATCTCCTTTCTGAGAATTTCTCTTCTGCCTCGTAATCAGCTACATATATATAATAATTATGACTTATTAAATTTATATTTTAGTTCAGTTGATAGTTCCTGTTAGTAGTTAGTATATTTGTACAGTTTGTTAGGTACATGTAATTTAATGTTTTTTTTTTGTTTATATTTATTCACAACTTGTACTTTACCCTCACCCGGTGTTCTTTTTTTACTTTTCCATACTAGGGTTGCCTGGAAGAAATAGCTTGTTATCGATAAAGCCCCCCGTTGCCTAATAACTTATGTAACCTGTTTCTTATATGTATGTATGTTTAGGTAACGAAGTATAAATAAATAAAATACCAATACAGCATGAAAAGCGCTTTTAGATAGACTGTAAAATATTTATTTTACCATTAATAATAATTATGTAATATTATTCTTAATAAACTCGTTTCATCGAAAATAATAGCCAATATTAAAACGCTTTAGGTAAAACTTCTGACATATCGTAAATAACAAACAATGGGGAAACATAGTAGGTACTTAATTAAAAATACAATTTTAATTTTAACAGTAAATTATTACTTAATCTATATATCACTTACGTCTAAGTAGATGGCTTTTAAATACGTGTAGTCCGTGAGATTAACGCGCACAATGTGCTTCCACTGACCTTTGCCAGATATGCTCCGAAAAGATCAACTATTACGTTAACATTATCTTAATTTAGTAAGAATAATAAGTATAACTACAATAACATATTCAAACAAAAATTTGAAGCCGATAACGAAATGTCGACGCTAAATTTCCAAAATTCCAACTAACGAGAGACAAACGTGCCTATGGGTAGCTAACTAAATTGGTAATAGGATCTGAAGTAAAATACAAACTAAACTTCATCATCATAAAGGGGTCATTTGATGTCGTTTTTTTAAGTCTCCTTTACTTGTGAGCAATAATAGTAAGAACCGAAGACAGGCAAGTATAACCTGTTCGGTTGCTGAGCGGTTCTTCCCACGTTAATTTGAAATCCGTGTGTCTAGACGCGCGCATGGTATTGATCATTATTTTGTTGCGGAGTAATTTTAGATTGATTATACCTTGATATTCGTTGAAATAATTAATGTTGTCATCGGTGACTTTGTTTAAATTTAAATATTTTTGATTAATAAACGTATGTTTTTATAAGACTCAAGATGTTTATAAAATAGATTTATAAGATAATAAATAGGTTTAATATAATCAACGATAAACGATAGACACATACGATGGTACATTTTTCAAGAGCTTTTTAATAAAAATATATTTGTTTCCGTAACACATACTTACATTTTGAATAACTTTACCTCTTATTCAAGTAGAAAACCTTTTTAGTTTTGCAACAACTGTGATTGTTGCTTCGCTTTAATAAATGGACTATCCAATCCATGACAAGAATAATGTTTCGATTTATACAATTAGCATCTTCTACGAAACATACAAATTCTTTTGTTTAATTATATAACTATAATAAATAAATTATTTGAATACACATTTTACAATGACGTACGAAATTATATTACTCCGATATAGAATTAGTGCATATTGTCTTATTGAGAACTTATTGAAAAATTGCAAAATTTTCGTACGCATGTAATTCACTCATTCTTAGAAATGAAAGAATAAACGCCTTTTGCTTTATATACAGCAATAATGAATACTGACTATTTCTCAATGAAGTAAGGTAAGACTAATATAATAAATTTAATGAAACCAATTGTAGCATTTTAATTAACAAATTTATTTTGGTAAACTATTATATACATGCTATAGTGAATTATTAAAAATATTGTCCAATATCAAACAGTGTGGCTATTAAATTCTTCTATTCTAGGCGTTGTTTATGGGAAACATCACATTGTAGATTGTGGCGTATTAACTGAGGTAATAAGTAATGTTCAGTCAATAATTTAGTATTATAAACTTAAAAAAAACAGTCTACAAAATGAAACTCAGGTTGCCCTCCCATTTTTGTTTAACATGCACGGAGAGTATTGGGTTGGATTAGTTATAATAGCTATTATCATTAGATTATTTTCATTTACAATTTTATTTTTTTCCCTTAATTATCACATCAAAACTAAAATTTATATATATATAACATACTACGTTGTTCGGCAGTAGTATTTGTCTTTAAATCTCACAAAGTAAGGCAGATTTTGCAGTAATGCTTGGGAGATTTTCTAGTTGGTCACCCTGTTCGCTATTGTGTAATGTGTATTGATTTTCTAAAATTGTCAGCTCACGGCCCGCCGCTGCAGAGTGGGATCGCCGACTCAATAATTATCGTTAGTAGTTTATGTGGTACGTCCATGTAATAAAAATGAATATAACCGGATTTACTTAACTATTCAGGTAATTCATTATAAACATATATTGTAATAACTCGGTACTTATAATATTATGCCGCTTATGAATTGTATACTGTATTATAGTACATATATATTATATACTAGTGATTGAAAATTTATTTAAAGGAAACATCTCACTTAAACTTGTGCAGAAATTTCGTTATTCGAATCAAAATGGCAAAATGCATGCGCGAATTTTTTTATATTAAGAGATTTTTTATACTTACTGTATAACCATTTGCGATATTATAATAATTAATCTTTGTATGACATCTTTGCGTTTAAGTTAATTTGCGAATGCTGAGTTTCATCTGTTAAGTATATAGCAAAAAAGTCCTGTTGCTAAGGACTCTTAACACATGTTAATGGTATATTTAAAAAAATATAATGTTCATTCATTATTCTAATTTTAATACAAAATTAAAAAGTATTTATGCCATTTTTGTATAATTTATTATATTATATGTAGTCACCAAAAATGTAAAAAAATCTGTTCCACCTCTGACAAATTCCTTAAGAGTTCTAAATTAAAAAGTTTGTTAACCGTGTTTGCTTATTATTATATTATATTGCAAATTACATTTTTGTTAACACAAGACTTTAAAGAGACATCACTTTCAGATCTTCGTCCATCATGGCTCAGAAGAATCAAATGGCAGAGATAAGATGCATGGAGCCAGAAAATTATCGGAAATACTTTCGATCCCTTTGTTGGAGTGGAAATAGGTACTATATAAAACAATTAAAGCAAATATTATTGATCTCTTCATTTAATGTATTTCATGTATGTATTATTGGTTTTTCAGAAAATTGGACAGACGACTTGGTAGGAGGGGTATAAGAAAAGAAAGGTCAAGAAGATCAAAAGGGCCAAATGCATTTGCCATATGTTTTGCTCCAGCTTTACTTGGCAATCCATCGCAGTTTGCTGTGTATGCTACTGTCCGAAAATCTATTCTGTCCCGATGGAGACATCTACAGGGATCAGTCGCTGATTTATCCGATGAAAGTGATAATGACGATCAAAATCAACTTGCAAATGTTAAATTACCAAAAGTATGTTTCATTAATTATCATCATTGTTACTATTTGCTATAGATATTGTAGTAATATATAA